ATCGACAGCCCCTGCTGGCTGGGCTGCTGGAAGGCCTGGCTGGTCCCACCTAAAGCTGCCTAGTGGGGAATCAAGCCCCAGAGGCAGCAGCTTTCCTTTGTATACATTTCAGGTCCTTGCACCTCCAGACCAGGGGGGATTCTGGAAAGAATTAACCTTTACTGTGTTACTCACCACTTCCCCAAAGCCATGCACAGCCCCCGCCCCCAGCATTCAGGGCGGATACAGGTTAGGAACAATGCCGAGTTATAATTCCAGCAGGACACGTGCGCAACCGCGTGAGATGGCTGTTATTTACGCAAGTATCCCAAACAGGGGATCCACAGCTGGGGCCACCCCTGGAAGCTTAACATTGTCCCTCGGTAAATGCTCAAGGGGGTAAGCACCTCCTCTTCGAGTATCATTTTTCTAGCTCACTCCCAGCTTTTAGAAATGGAGTCACAAAATTTTCAATGAAATGAAAAATAATTGAAATTCACTTTCAGGAAGGCATGCCAAGGCCACACTGTGGTGTTCAGCCATCAATCAAATCACTCTGAGCAGGATGTCAGCATCAGACAGTGGAGAGGTGGGGGATGGGAGGCAAGTGGGCACCACACAGCAGCAGGCTTGTCATAATGCCCTGTCACCAGCACCCACCACAGATCCTTCGCTGGAGGGTCCCAAAACCAACTGACACTCAAGACAAAATTCTTCTGTTCTGGATACCTGCCTAAGTCAGCAGGAAAAGGTAGCAGACAATGAACCAAATTTTTTTTGTCTGTCTTTGCTAACTGATAGGACCTCGTGCCTCTTCACTGAGTTAACCTAAAAATGGGGGTACACAAATGATGTGGCCCATGTTAAAAGACTCGGGAGGGGAGATCAACCTCTGTCTCCCCTAAAGGCTAACTTCATGCTAAAGAAAATCTTCCAAGAAACTGGCACTGAAATGTATACCCCTTGGGAGAGAATGAATTCTTTCTGACCATAAGGTTGTTGGGAAATTCAGTAATCATGCATTTCATAACTGAGAATGGTTTAAAAACAAACAATGAAATGTAAACTCCTTTCAAGTTAATGGCAAACTCTCGGGGTAACCTTTGAGGGACCTGTTTTCTAGAGGGAGCTCAGGATTCCTCTTCAGGGCCAGATGAGTTTTGGGGCTACCCATAAGAAGATGGACTGGCTAAAGCTCAACTATATTCCAAAGCAGATATGCATAATTTTAAAATCATTTTAAGTTATCTGCGCTTCCTCTGTCCTCCAAGATCATGATAGAAAAAGCAAGAGATTAAATGTCAACATGAACATGTCCGAAGTTGAGGGCCAGAACATTTTACTTATAAACACAACTAGAAGTAAAAGTCTGGAACCTCTTTTCCAAACTCCATCATGTGCCAGAATATTCAATGTGACCATGAATCGGGCTGGGAGTCTTGGAATGAAGTTTTCCCAAGTAGACTATGTAGAGTTCAGTCTGGAGCTAGAGCTAATAGACTTTCACACGAGGAAAGAGAAGATACTATGTCCAGTGCCTCTTACCCCTCGGCCCAGTTCCCCACAGAAACTATCTCCGTGTCTCCTGGGGCTTCCCTAGAGAAGACACCCAGCAGGGGATCAACACAGCCCAAAGCACAGAACAGAGATGGGTTGTCTGTGCATTCTTCCTGGGGAGAAGCATGGCGACAATTTGGAGCCACTGAAGACAGGAAAGCCAAAGAGGCTGAGCAAACATCAGGGTTGCCCGCATGCTAGAGGCATCTTCAACAGGGCCCCACCATATCCTTCTGAAGCTTCTGGAACCCTCCCAGCTCTTCCTGTTCTGCTAAAGCATTTAACACAATGGATCTTCCGCGGTGGGTATGAGCTCTCACACCATTGAATGGCAGAGTAGGACAATTAGAGTTGGGGTACATAAGAAACCCCCTCCTGATGAGAAGAGTCTCCTGCTTCCAGTTCTGTGACATGTGCAGTTTAAATTCAGGGGTGGGATGCAATTTGCAGCAACATGGATGGCGCTGGAAAGGATCATGCTCAGCGAAATAAGCCAAAAAGAAAAAGAAAAATACCGGATGGTCTCACTCATAGCAGGAATCTAGAAAACTTAAATAAGGGACCAGGAAAATGAATATAAGAAAGTGAAAATCAAAATCAACAAAAAACTATGAACCAGAGACACTTTTTGGGGGGTGGGGGGTGGGAGGGGAGGGATTGGGGTCAGAATGGGGGGTTTGCAATTGTATGGGGGAATATAAAAATAAAATTTATTATTTATAATAAATAAATAAATAAATAAATAAATAAATTCAGGGGTGGGGATGAGAATGAGTGCCCACTCAGTCTCTGATTCACCATGTTATCAGGAGGACAATGACTAGACATTTGTTTAAGTTATTTATCTTATTTTATGCAAATCTGCTTGACACTTAGCAGCTGCTGTGATTTTTCCCCTTAATATTTTACAGGTGAGTTTTCCTTCTTACTCTCCAAAAATTAACTGTGTCTGCAGACAATGCATAATGTCTCGTGGCCTGCAGTGCTTTTTGTTATTGATTAGGCATGATGACAATTACCAGGGTCAACAGGTTCCAAGCTATCAGCAGTAAATTCTTTCACCTCTCCCAACATCTGCCCTGACCTCAACCTTTGCACTGCTCTGTCCAAGTCAACCAGGCACTACTATTACTAGTTTATTTACACGATGTGTGTATCAGTAGAATAAATGAGCTATTCTCTGTTTGCCTTCTACAGATAGAAGGTATCAGTCCATAGCCAACAGACAATCTGAACCTTGGGAAAAAAGTATTATTAAAATATACATGTTGTATTTAGCTATTTAAAAATTGCCTGCAATCTGTTCCAAAGAAATTCTGTTGGAGACCACACACACACACACACACACACACACACACACACACCCCAAAACCAAAGAGAGAGAGAGAGAGAAAGGACAAATTGTATACATCTCCAGTATAGAGATTCTTCCTGCAGAAAAAATGCTGATCCAAACCTGCCCAGAGGAAATGAGTTCTTTTTAAACACAAAAATGCAATCAGGGATAATCAGCAAGTTAACAACACTCTTGCAAATATCCCTAGAAAGGAAGAATGCCAGCTTTCAATGCAAGTTCTGAGAACAGATCCTTTGAGTGAATGAGAAAACAAGTGAGCATGTCAGCGTCTTCAGGAAGAACTTTCTCCAAAGCCAAAAAGCCTGCAACAGCAGTCCACTGCAGAAGTACCTGCTTGTGAGCAGCGCTTCAATAACCGCCACCCACAGCAGCTTTGCAGATCCGTGTTGCCTCTGTCCCTCTTCCCCAGTCCTTCTCCAATGGGCTCAGGGGAAAAATAGAAACCAGAATTGACAACCTGCAGCCTCCATGCAGGTAAGAAGATACCACTCCCACAGAAGGACCCAGAGAGCTGACCTGCCCATACAAATGACAAGGAGGCCTCCATCAAGACCCCCAAGGAGTCCTAGTCTCCGGCATGTGTTACCTGTGAAATAAATTTGTTTTGGGTTTTTTAAAAATGTTAATAACTATTAGTAGAAACAGTTCATATCAACCGCAATCTGCTTTAGGAACCGGGCTGCTGTAGGCAAGTTTGAGGAAAGCTGCAGATACCATTTTTGATTACAAATCTGCAGGCAGGGGGAGACTCACCTAATGAAGAGATCCTGGAGTCAGTGCTGAGACACCCACCTGGCTCCACCTACCTGACCTTCCTTGACTGTCTATCTTGGCTACACAAAGGAGTTACCTGGAAAGTGCACCAATGTTTGATCCCACTCCCCAGAGACTACTGGCAGATTGGCTTGGGGGTGGTGGGGGAGGCTGAAGATTTTTAAACATCCCACATGATCCTAATGTGCAGCCAAGGTTGAGAACCACCCCAATGCCTCCAGAAAGACACCAGCATAGGAAGGTGATCCAAACATCTCTGGGAAAATTCAGGGCTTATCTAAAAAAGGATAGAAGAGAAAGCACATGCCTTCTCTCTTTGTCATCCTAGCCTCCCAACACACAGCCGGCTAGTTCACATGTTCTTGGCCAGGTCCATGTTCCTCCCACTGAAATCTAGGCCTTTAGTGGGTTCAGGAGTCCAGGACTCTGGATTTTATGTATTTGTCAAATTAGAGCCTGCGAATTCTCACAGATCTGATCCCAAATAGATTTTGGTGTACAAACTGAGGGCAGCCTAAGCCCTTGGACATAAGTCCCCCTTCCTCTCCCTGGGAAGTTGTCGTTGAACTTGGGGGGGTGTCCAGAGTATGCAGAGCATGACCAGTTCCCTCCAGGGCTTGGCTGGACAAGGCTCCTGTCGGTCTCTGTGTGTTCCCACACTGTTCTCTCTATAAGGAGAGGCGAGGACAAGATGGAAAAATCCTGATGCTGGAATAAGGAGGCAAAAAAGCCCATCCCCAGGTGCCTCATCTACCCTCCAGACACGTCCCAGAAAATGGGGGGTTGGGGGGGAACCCAGTCAAGGCTGGGTTTACAGTGGGGCCAACCATGCACCTGCAAATCCATCCACCCCATTCTTCAGTGCACAGGCATTTTTGGTACTGGAAGAAGGAGGAAGTGACATTTCCCATCTATCCCCAAGGGTCGAAGTCTCGATGGATCAGGAGGTACAGTGTGCCCATTTTCTATCTGATTTCTTCCCTGGTGCTGATCCTGCTAAGCTGGGCTACAATGGAGGAGCTGACTCTGTGCACAGGCAGGCAGCGGCTGATGACATCAAGTACAGCCAAAGATGCCTCTGAGTACAGCCAAACATTTGAGCAAGGAACCCATGGTTGAGTAACCAGGATTCTCTTCCTGCTGAGAACGGATGGATTTTCCATTGAGAGCAAGCAAAGGAATTCCACCGACTCCTCAGGGAAAGGGACCCAATTATCCAACAAGCATCTAAAGCAGCCCTTCCGTGAGAAAACTGGTTTCTATCAGGGGTCCTGGATCCTCACCGGCCCCCTAGGAGGTCTGGAGCCAGAGAGTGTAGAAAGCTCCTCCTTACCTTCCGAGCAGAGCTTGCCTCCGAAGCCAGTGGTGGAACAGTCACAGGTTGGGTGGCCATCCAGGAGAAAGCAGATCCCACCATTTTCACAGGGTCGGTCACCACAGGGGCCCTCTGCGTCCAGCTGGACACCCTGGCTCCCCAGAAGCTGAGGCTCCGAGTTGCCATATTTGAGATCCAGGATTAATCCCTTGAAGCCGGGCATGGCCTGCACTCCGTCGAGGGTCAGAGCAGAAGGTCGTATGTCCGCAGGGACTCCTCCGAGGAACAAGTGGCTGACCACATCCATGTAGGGCCGCTGGGGCTGCAGCTCCCCGGCCTGGCCCTCGCCATCCAGCACTAGCACGGTGCGCAGGCCGTCGCGGCTCACCATGAGGAAGTGCCAGGTGCTGTCGTTGACCTGCTTGTGGGACAGCACGGCCGTCTCGGCGCAGTCCATGCTGACCCGCAGCTGCACGCGGCCGTCCACCAGCGAGAGGCACAGGAAGTCGCAGACGCCGCCGTCGTCCAGGTAAAGCAGCAGCCCCGTGGAGACGTTGGTCTTGAACTGGAAGCTCAGGTCGCTGCGCGTGCTGGCGTCCCAGCGGAGGTAGCGGGCCCACTGGTTGGGGAGGCCCATGAACTCCAGGCCCAGGCACAGCCCCAGCAGGGACCCCAGCAGGACGCTCGCCTTCAGGGTGAAGAAAACCGAGTGCGCGGTGAAGCTCATCGTGGGGGCTGGAGAGGAGCGCGGAGGAGCAGAGCGCAGGGAACAGCCCTGGCGGGCTTTGGGAGGGTGCAGTGCACGAGGGGCGCGCCCCAGCGCACACGAGAGGACGGAGCACGCACGAGGTCGGAGCTCCTAGGGGGGAGGAAGGAGAAGCGAAGGGGACCGCGCAGAAGGGCCCCCAACACAGAGGCAGAGGAAAGAGACAGGACAGAAAAGGGGAGGACCCTCAGGTGGGGAAAGGGAGGGGCTGCAGTGAGGAGCAAAGTGTCTTTCTCCAAGAAAAGATCTCAGCTATCCATGTGGATCCGGAGGCCTTGATTCGAGGAGATGGTGGGGCAGAGCCTTCTGCAATGCGCTCCTCCCCAGGGACCCGCACGCCCGCAGCCAGGGAGGCCGCTGAGGTCAACGGGCGGTGAGGGAGGAGGCGTGAGCGGTGAGGTCAGCCAAGTGACAGGTAGAAACAGGCCAAGGACCAGTCCTGAGGTTCTACCTCCTAGCAGCCCGGGGCTGGGGGCAGGGGCGCAGCTGGAAGCTGAGTGCTCAGGCCGAGCAGGGCCCAGGGTAGAGCTGAAGCAGGTTCAGGCTTCATGGTGCGGGCCAGAGGCAGTCCTGCCCATAACCTGCCTCCCAGGACTCCGGAGAGGGGCTCTGCGGAGAGGAGGGAGAAGAGGAGGAAGGAAGATTAGAGACGTGTGTTGGGAAAATACTGCAGCCTATTTCACAAATATTGATGAAGCGTGGACTCTGAGCCAGGCTATTCTAGCGGTTCCCGCAGGGCTTGGTGCTTCAAACCAGGGGGAGGGCCTGACTCCTTCCAGAATGTGTGCAGGACCCGGAGTCAGCTCCTAATGATTCACTCAGATATTCCATATGCAAAAATGGTGTAAACCCCCAAATGTCATATCAGCACATTTTACAATATTCATATCCCAGGGTCAGATAGCAAAAATTTATTTTTAAGATCAATGCTAACATTTTATAAATTCAAATATAATTTTAAATTATTTACCTACTAAAAGACATGAAAATGACATAGACTTTTTGGAAAAGATTTTTCTTTTTCTGTATGACCATTCAATGTTTGACTAGACGCACTCTAACAGACTTCCACCTTTAAATATTTAAATATTTATCAAAATCAGCAAAAATAAATTAGAAGATGAGTAATGAGCAAACTTGACCTCATCTCTTCTGGAAAGTACAAAATATGTGCTCTGAGGCTTTTTTTTCTTAAAGATTGACTTTAAATCCTAGTTCCTGTATGTGAAACTAAGCACATTTCTTAAACTACTTGACCTTCTATTTCCTCATTTGTAGAGGAGAGAAGATAATAATCTCTATCCAAGGTTGGAGAGAAGATTAAATGAGATCACGTATGGGACTATCGTAGCATGAGGCTATATATATAGTAGGAAATCAATAAATACTGGGATCCTTCATTTCTTGTATCCAGATAGGAAGGGAGAAGAGATGTTATTGATGTGCATCTATGTATGTGTGAGTGTGTGTCTTGTGTGTGATTCTGTGTGTGTCTCTGTGTGAATGTGCCTGTGTGTCTGTAGAGGCAGTATATGAAAATACTCTTTAAAAGATTATGAAGGGCCTCCCTGGTGGTGCAAGGGGTTAAGGTCAGCACTATGAAGCTATCTGCCGCCACTGCAGCATGAGTTTGATCCCTGGCCAGAGAAGTGACCCACACGGTGCTGGAGACCTCTCTTGTCTCACCTGCTGCTCTCCTCAGCAGTGTATTTCAGTCTGCTTATTCTGCTCCCCATTCTGTCTCTAGTGAATCCTCTCACCCCCCCCCATGCCTCTGGCTATACCCCAGCTCTTGTGTACAAAAATAAATAAATCTTTAAAAAAAAGATTATGAAAACTTCAAAGTGGATAACAACTAAATAGTTAAGGGATGCTACAGACCTAGAGATTATTATATGGGTTTTACAGTAGTTGGAAAGGCACCAGCACTCAGTCAAGTGTGTGATTTGGTTTCTGAGGACAGACTCTGGCCCACCTAGCTGAGTGGAAATGTCTCTGTCCACATGAAAGCAATGAGGGTAATTTCTAGGAACTGTGCAAGATGCTGCTTATTAGTTGGCATATTTGATAATTTACCATGGTCTCTGTCACAGCATCAATTTCCACTATTTTTATGATGACTACATTAGCAAAACTAGTTATTACTCCTGCTTTGAAGAGGAAAATGCTGTTCCTTCACCAGGAACAAACACCTATTCCCATTGAACAAATAAACCCAATCAACAAGAGGCTGGCTGACTAAATCCATTGTAAGGAAAGCCTTTGCTCTGTAAAAGGTCTTGTCCAATGTTTCCTAAAGTATGGCCTAGGTACTTCCACTGGTGCAAACGATGGTCAGCTAGAACATGGACACAGTGGTCTGAAGGTACTTGTACAGGCTGCTGGGTAAACTGGTAAAATTTCAGTAATTTTTCAGCTGATATGACTTTGATAGCACAAAATCAGCTATGCTAAACAGACTTTTTGAGGTGAACTTTAAGCCAAGTCTTGAAAAGGAGTAAGGGAATTAACCATGAAAATATCTGGGAAAAATGCTCTAGAAGTAAAAGTCAATGCAAAGGCCTTGAGCCTGGAGCCGTCAGGTATATTTAAGAACAGTAAGCAGGCCAGTGCTGTTGCAATGGAGTGAAGGCAGGAAGCCAAAGGTGGATCTCACAAAGCTGGATGATAAGAACATGCCCCAGCCTCTAAGAAGTGAGCACTGGATGAGGTGAGGGATGCCAGCTAAGTCAAAAGGCAACATCCCAGGGGAGAGAGGATGCCCTTGTCCTGAGAGGAAGATGCCTCTGGCTTCATCAACAGCCATCCAGGACTACACATTTCTTTAAGTTGACTTGCTGGAAGGGGCTACTTTTGAAGTAAGTGCTCAGGTGACAGCTGCTCTCCGTCCCCTCCCCACAGCCATACATGTGATAGAGAAGAGAGGGGAGCAAAACAGGTGTGAGCAGGAAGAAAAAGCCTCTCAGAAGAGGTAACCCAAGCCTGAAATCATTAATGAGCCAAAAATGTAAAAAAAAAAAAAAAGTGATGTGGAATGTAGTTCCCTGGAGCATAAGCCCACAAGGCTTAGGAAAGTGTCTTCTCTGTGACATTACCCTGACTGCTTTACCTCAGGGAGTGCTTCTCTTTCACCCCCTACCCTGCCAATGCAAACCTGGGGGCCCTCTGGCTGACACGCATGGCTCAGATGGCTGCACCAGTGTGTCTGCAACTTCAGTGGGAGGAAAGGACATTCAGATGGAAGTCCTGGCCTCACAGATGATCCAGGACATGAGACCCTCCACCTCTTCCCAGAGACACATTTCTGATAGGGTCTAAGTGGACAGTGCTAGAAATGTTCAGACTAGTCTATCAACTCACTTCCAGGCCTCTGAAAGTCACTTATTGTCTGTATAAATTAAATGACTTGCTCAATTTGCTTTGTTTATTGAGCTCTGATTCATCCCACTCACTGCTGGACCAAACTGGAATAAGATACCATTCTTTTCCTCAAGGGTCTTCCAGAGCCATGGGGCACAAAGCACAGCGATGGGCAGTCCTGGCTCTGGAAGCCTGATAGGGAGCTCCCTGTGGCTAGAGGCTACTTCACCATGGTGCCTACCACAGGACCTTAGCACGGAGTGGGAAACATGTAGAAGAACAGTCAAAACAGAAGCTGAGGGGCCTCCCTGGTGGCACAAGGGGTTAAGCACCACACTATGAAGCAGCCTCCACAGCACGTGTTCGATCCCTGGCTGGCCAGAGAGAAACCCACATGGCGCAGCAGACGTCTCCTGTCTCACCTGCTGCTCCCCTCAGCAGTGTGTTTCAGTCAGTCTGCCTGTTCTGTTCCCCGCTCTGTCTCTGGTGAATCCTCTCACCCCTCCCCCTCCATCTCTGGCCTGCACCCCAGCTCCTGTATGCATAAATAAATAAATCTTTCAAAAAAAAAAAAAAAAACAAACAGAAGCTGAGGGCCTCCCTGTAGATATTCTGACTGTTCCATGTAGCAGCCTCCATGCCACCCTGCTTTATACAACAGCAGCCACCCTGAGCCCCCACACATCTTTGGATGCCAACCTCAAAGTGACCACATAGGGCAAAGCAGCACATGCCTAGTGATTTGGGTAAACCCATCAGTTGAGAACTAAGCTGCCCAGAGACACTTCCCTGTGAGAAGCATCATGAGAATTGACTCAGCCTACTTTACGGTGTCTTCTCCATCCTGCCTGTTGGGCCTCTTTTACCAGATTCATAGACACCAAGATTCCCCTGCCTGCATCATGAGGGATCGAAAAGATGGACTAAGGAAAACCCACTTTCTTTCCCACAGGCACTAGGTAGAATCTGATTTCAGGACTAACAACATCAGAATTGGGTTTATCTAGACTTGACCCCCTGAGGTCTGTTCACATTCTCTCATAAACTCTTCCATTTCCTCCCATGGCCGATGGGAAATTGCCACAATGACCAAAAGCCGGAAATGACCTTACATCAGTATCACAGACCTTAAGCCAACTTCCCCAGATATTTCTCCCAGTCATCTGCAGTCCTCAGGGGGGACGCTGAGCCAGGAGTCCTCCCCACCTGACCAGCCAACCCCACCTTCCCTGAGGCACAGATCACAGCGCCCATGGTTAAGCATGGAGGGCCCACGGCTGGTAAGCTCAAAATGCTTATCTGCTATGAAGGAATCTAGCCAGAGAGGGAAAATAAGTGACATTATCTAATTGCCAGCTAATTTGCATAATCATCAAAGGCACATTTTTTTATGTAGGGTTAACATCTTTGCAAATGTCTCCCCTTCTGGCTGCTTAAGAGCTGGTGGGGGGCGGGGTGAGTCTCCCAAATATCTGACATACTGGCTACTTGCCACAGGCACAGCTCAGAAGAGTTGGCTGCTATTTGCCCTTCACCCACTCCCTATAATTCCTCTGTTCCCTCCAAACAGATTCAGGAGAAAGTCTGACCTGTGTCTAGAAACAAGTCAGAATGGTGTGGGAAGGTCTGAGGGTGACTGTCCTCATGTCCAGTCCTTGCTGGCAGGCCAAGGCCCACAGACCAGGCTTGCAGTTTTATCTGTAGAACTTTTCATCCACTATCCT